CCCTGTTTTGCTGACTTCAAACTATGATCTGTTTATGCTCTTTTGCCTTTCTTTCAGCCTTCAGAATAATTTCTTCTAAGGATAATGTCTATATTTTCAATGTTTCAAGTTAACAGAAAACTCCTGAGTCTTTGGAATTACAATTTTGAAAACTGATGTACAGTTCATATATCCTTAAGGGTCATAGATTCAATTAATTGGCTTTAATTTATATATTATACCAGAGACTTTGATGTCTCACTTTTTATCCCAGCTGATTAGAAGGGAGAAGGATGCTGTAGAAAGTAAGTCACAGACATTAGAGCTGACAGAGGCAAGCCTAGGCTAATAATTGATGTCTGTGGTTATGACTCAGAATCATAAACCTAATGTTTAAGGTAATTGCTTAATAAGTAGCGTGTGTGCACTGCTTTTTAAAATAATGGTTGTCATAAAAGTTATAATCAAATTTAATGTTTAAAGGTTAAACTTCTTCACCTAGAAAAATCTATGCATAATATCTCATTCCCTAATGACCCTGGGTGAATGACATGTGACTACCACATATAATTTAGTATCCATCATGACATGAGTGTCTGTGTTTAATTTTGATATACTTTTGTATTTAGTCACTCAGTATTTGTGTTTCTGTTTACTTGTATTCTTATAGTAGCATCTGTTGTATTTTGCCAGTTACTGTAATTATTTGCTTGTGTGTATGTTGCCACTAACAGATTTTTAAATTCCTTGAGAGTTTGCTCACTCATTTACTCAACAAATATCTGAGTACCTGTGTGGCAGTCACTGTCCCCCACTGGGGATGCAATTTTAAACAGACAGACAGACATGCTTCCCACCCTCAGGGAGTTTAGGGCCTTTTGGGGAAACACAATAATCAGATGTTAATCACACAAATAAAAGTGTAATTACAAACAAGGATTAGTATAGTAAATGAAATTAGAGGAGGGTAGCAAGGCTTCCCTGACAGTTTAATGTTTGACCCAGGAGCTGCCGTGTAGGTGGTAGTTGGTTGGGTGTGGTAGAGGGACGACTTTGAGGGTCCAGAGGTGGGAAGGAGCTGGGGGGCACGTTGGTGAGGAGGGAGTGGCGAGGCACAGACCAGGTTTCAAGGTAGCCCTGCTGTGGTCTCTCTACCAGTCAGGGTTTTCCTAGGCCACAGGCATGTAAGGATTTTGGTGGTTATCCAAAGGAGCAGTAGGAAACCTTTGAGGGTTTTAAGCAGTGGAATGTTGTCAAATTGGCATTTTGAAAAATCACAGGTATTTTGCCGCACACTGATAGACCTTCAGTAAGTAGGTGTCTGAGGGAACCGAATTATTCGTGTAATTTTTTTCTCATATACCTTAGTATGTTTTAGCACCTTTAGTCCCACTGAGGTGCTTCTAACCTGTTTCACATCGCGGCACTTACAGAAGGCGACAGTGTGTGTGCTGCGCTCGCGGCGGAGAGGCCAGCTGGGGTAACCTGCCCCAGCAGCAGCTGCCCAGGCCCTGCCCCGCTGCCCCCGGCTGAGCGGGCACTGTCTCGTCCTGCTGTGACTCGTTCTGGGCACACAGGCTGGGCCTCTCTGATGTCACTAGTAGGGGATTAATGAAGTAAGGTTGTGAAGAAAGGCTTAAAAAAACTGCATCATATATACAAAACACGTATTTTGAGATTTATTGTTTTACTGTTCTCCCTGTAGTCCTGGTAAAACACATATACGATAAAACCATGTTCTGTGTCGTATTTCACCGGCACTGTTAGAGATTCGGTTACCGTAGCTGTCCCAAGATTTTATAGAGGTTGTGGTACTTCTTTTCAGTGCTCAGTATTATTTGTGTTTGCTTATTGTGAATCAAGTTGCAGGGCCAACGCCAGATCACTAGTGCTATTATAAAACCATGTCATTTTCTGTTTGGCTTTTGCATTATTAGTAAATGGATAAGAGTTCAAAGGTGATTCTAAATTAATGCAGTACTGTAAACAGCACTTAACATCATGAAAATTCAAGTACAGTATATAGATATAACTGGTATTTCAGCTAAGCACAGCACGTTGACGAGTTCTCTGTGTCTTTTCTGTCTGCAGTGCGGCCAGACTCCTTTGATGATAGCTGCTGAACAAGGCAATCTGGAAATAGTGAAAGAATTAATCAAGAATGGAGCTAATTGCAATTTGGAAGATTTGGTATATATTGAAATATTTTACTCATTTGTCTTTCTCTTTTCCTTACCTTAGCTATTTGTTTTTAGGAAGTCATCCAAAAGTAACAGATTACAGCTTGTACTTTAGCTGTATCCCACCTTTGCCTAGTAATACGCTGTTAATTTTTTGAAAGAAGTAATACAGGAGAAATGGTTACTTTCAGCGAAAGGGCTCAGCTCGTCATGTCTTTCATGTGTAGGTTGCACTGGCTGAACAGGGAGCAAGTAAACGTAAATTAAATGCTGACCGAGAGGATACCCATGTATGAGTTATACTGTGAAGTGTCTCCCCGTAATGGTATCTTATTATTGTAAGCATCATTATAGATGATGAGCCAGAAAGACGTGGTCCCTCCTGATGCCACTTCTGGGGGTAAATCACTGTTCCAGGAGTCTTACATCTCCTCTTACTTCCTTTCTTCCCAGGAATTGTTTTTCAGGGTCACACATCTGGGTTTTTTTAATATTTGTTTTTATGATTCATATTAGTGATATTAAATTGATGGCTTTAACTGAATGATCATTTGAATTAGCTTTTACAGACCACTCATGAATAAAAGTTAGGATAGGATACTTGTAACCTTTATTGAAAGAATAAAGGAGAATAGTTCTTTATCACAGTTTCTGAGCTCATCACATGGGGTCGCTTCAGTTTAGTAGTTTGTAAATGTGCTCTGAGATCTGACTACAGGCTCTTTCATTTCAGTTTATAGTAATGGCTGCTGGCCGCGAGGATTAGCTTTGAGGTTTTGATAGTCATCTTTTCTCCTTTTTAAAAAACACGATATGTGATTAGAAGTCCAGTGAAAAGACTGAACAAGCACCTGAGAAACCATTCCTACACACTGTAGTTGTACGGGGAGACAGGTCTAACTTCTTATCAGAGCTTACGCCTCAGTGTTGTTTTAGAGCAGTTTAGAGAGGGTCACGTCATGTCCATTTGGTACGATCATCTGGTATGTAAATTCAAATGTATTTCTCCTCACTTTGGAATGCTATTTTTGGTTTTGAAATGATAACATTCGTGCCTGTGTGTTCAAGGATAACTGGACAGCGCTTATATCAGCATCAAAAGAGGGGCACCTGCACATTGTGGAAGAACTGCTGAAATGCGGGGTCAACTTGGAGCACCGTGACATGGTATGTACATTCTTTATATGTTATTAATTAGCTGGAATCTTGTTAACAGTAACAAATATGTGTGAAATCTTTCATTTTTAGGTATGGGGTGATGTTACAATAATGTTTTTAGGATTTGGGATTGGGCATTGAAATGACCCTCAGGAATGTTTTAAAACCCAGGTGATACAATGTACCTCTTTTAGAACATTCTTAGTCATCATTTTCTGTTTATTTCAGTGTTTAAAATTCTGAAATATTGTTAAAACAACTCATTACCCTTTATAATGTATCAGTGTTTTAGAACTTACGAGAGAGGTGTTCCCGTTAAGAAGAATTTTAAGAGGGACATAGTATAGTACTATAGTTTTTAAAATATTTTCAGTTGTTTAAATTACGATTTTCAGAGTACTACTTTTAAATTTATTTGTAAATGTAACTGTGTTCAGATATACTGTTTGTGCACATTACAAGTTTAATAAGATATGATCCTTAATTATCTCAGCTCTTACTTGATCTTGACATCTGCTTAAAGCACAAAGGTGAAGAAAGTGATCATTTATGGCTTATTTTTTCTGCAAAATGCTCAGCCTTTTCAAAAGTTAATTTTAACAGGGGATAAGAAGAAGGAATTGAACTGCCTTGATGTAATGTATTACTTTGCTGATGATGCTTTATGAAGGACAGGTGGTCTGAATTTTTAAGAAGCTGCAGCACTCCACCATCTTGCACTTAATACTATGTTGTACAGTGTGACTTACACAGTGTTCTTACCTCTGCAGTCTTATATTTATTCTCAAAACTTAGTGAAGTGCCTGGTGTACTGATTTTTATAGAAAAATGCAGAACCATTTGTATCCTCCCTATTTCTGAAAAAATTTGAAGTGCATGGATATAAAAGTCTAGGGAGAGAAGTTACTGATGCCAGTAATCTAGGTGAGGGATGGAGATGTCAGGTGACAGTAAAATGTGATGTTCTTACCTTATTGGTATATGAAGTAGTTGGGAAATTCTTGGAATTACCTAGTTCTCAGCATTTTATTAAGGCACCATACCAGTTTATCAGATGAATTAATATTAGGTACCCATTCTATGACTGGTCCCTTTTCATGCTTTGTAACCTCTCTAATTCACTTCTCAGAAGAATCCTATGGGCTAAGGGTTCATTTTGCTCTCAGTGTATACAGTTCAGGAAATTGAAGCTTGAAGAAGTACTCTTTGCCCAAAGTCACTCAGCTCTTAAGCAGCCAGACTGAGGTTTGAGCCCAGGTCTGCTTTCTCCGGAGGCTGTCTCCTCTATGACTCTTCCATGTATATTAGCCAGGGAGTTAGGGGCTGTGAAGTACACATTACGAAAATGTGTAAAAACTTAGCAAGATTTGTAAAAAGTGGTTTCTTAAATTGTTTTAGTTGTCTGGAGGTGACTGTCTAGGAACATAGAATATTTTCTGAAGGAAAATATTCAGACAGCCAAAATAAGTCTTGGAAATTTGGAGGAGTCCAGCATGAATGTTTCCTATTTCAGTTTCCATGATATAATGCAAGCTTTGGACAATCATTTCTGGACTTAAGAGGTTTGACTTTTCTCAGATACTGTTGTATATTCCTCTGGGGAGCTTGGGTATTAAAAACAACAGAGTAGTGATTTCTTAAAACAGTGATTTTGTAAAGCATATTCACAAAAGGACCTTTATTAATGACATCTTTGTGCTTGGAGACAATCCAGTGTTCTATTTCCCTCCCGCCACCATGTTTTTTCCCTTCAGGGAGGATGGACGGCCCTCATGTGGGCGTGTTATAAAGGCCGCACTGAGGTGGTGGAGTTGCTTCTTTCTCACGGTGCCAACCCAAGCGTCACTGGTCTGGTAAGCGTTGAGAAAAAATTCATCTGTGATATAAGTGGTCAGTTGTTTCAGAGAATGCTTAAGGCTGGACTTCATAATGAATAAAAATGATCTAGATCTTACTAAAGATAATAACGCAGAATGTGATTTCAAAACATAATGAGAGAAAAAACACAATGAAGTTTTTTCTCAAACTAATTTCTCAATTTTTATCAACAAAAAGACAACTCTTAGAGCTTAGATATTAATTATAACTATATAACATTTCAAAAGGAGATTTTGAAATCCTTAAGTCTTGCCTGTTTTCAGTGAGTATGCATTCTCAATCTAAACTTTTCTTAAAGAAGGGAGACCATACCGTGTCCGTACCACTTCTCTGTACATTCTTGTAGGTGGTAGTACCTGCCTTATTACTTCACTTGAGACTTGATCTCAGACTGCAGATTAGTTGTTTTATTGATGAGGGGCTTCCCTTCACAGTGTATATGTATGTCAATCATCACATGGTGCACTCTAAATTTCTTATAACTGTATTTGTCAGTTATACCTCAGTAAGACTGAGAAAAGGAAATGGTTTTATTTCAGTTAATGAAGGGATTATAAAGAAAGGTTTCACATTCTTATTAATCTTACCTGTTAGATAATCACATTAAATGTGTTGACTCTGTAAGAATACATGTGTTCACAATGTATAGTTATTTAAGGTCGAGTACATCTTTGTTCCGGTTGTGTATTATGAGCATTATGTGTATTTTTAAAGTGGAGAATGGTCTGTAACTTGAATTTTAAAGATACGACTTTGTATTACTCCCTTTGTTATTTCCTCTTCTTAGGAGATGTGTTGTAAATACCCATCTAAAAGACCTTTTCTCTCCCTCCTGTCTCCCTACTGCCCCCTCACCTGTCTCCCAGCAGTACAGTGTTTATCCCATCATTTGGGCAGCAGGGAGAGGCCATGCAGATATAGTGCATCTTTTGCTGCAAAACGGTGCTAAAGTCAACTGCTCTGATAAGGTAGGTCAGCAGGGTCTTTCCAGGTTCCAGTTCATATTATGTCCACGCAGTGTGTCTAACTTACAAGTATTTTCATATGATCTCATGGGGCTGCTCTGACATACCTTATGTTTATATATATTAATGTATTTTATATAGACTTAATGTATTTTACGTAGACTGACATCTCATAGGTGGGTTCCTTCCAGGTGTTAAATACGTACTAAGTGCCCTTCCATTGTTTTTTATATCACGTTCATCATTCTTGGGAAAATAGATGGGGGATGCTACTCTAGCTTCATTATTTGAAGTTTTCTGTTATAACTCTTCTTTCTACCTTTGGTCCTGTCTGCTTTCTCTGTATTGTTGCCAGATGACCTTTTAAAATTCATTTTGTTCTCTCTCTCTCATACTTGGAATCCTAAAGACATCAAATCTGTTGATGTCTGGTGTATAAAGATAATCCTTGCTGCCCTTTTTCCTGCTATCTATACCCTTAAGCTACCTTGCATGCTGGACTATCAAATGATGGAGGTCCCCGAACGCGTCTGTTCTCAGGCCTCCACGCCTTGCCTGTGCTCTTTCACAGTGTGGAGTGCCCTCTCCTCCTCGTCTGCTTAGCTTGCGTTCACCCGTCACCCTCAGCCCGTGTGCCAAGCAGCTCCAGAAGGCTCCCAGGATTTGATTCTATTCGTTTTTTACAATTGTTAATCCCACAAATAGTTAATAAGTATGTATTTAATTGTGTCATTCTTTCTTACTTTTGGGGAGCTCTGATGGCTCCTGCAGTTCCAGGACAAAGCCCAGACTTCTCAGTGTGCCCCAGGCTGTCCTCCCAGGTGTACTTCTTGCTGCTTCTCTCCGCATGCACTATGCTTTTAGACAAAAGATTGTCTACCCTTCTGTGAACTTTCACGAGTTTCTATGAAGTGGGTGTGTGTGTGTGCGTGTTTATTCTGTTCCCTCTGCTAGGAGTGTTATTGCCTCCTCTGCCTGATGAACTCCTGTGTATTTTTTCAAGGCTCAGTTGCGATGTTGTCTTCTTTGTTCAGTCTCCTTTGCTTACCTAGTCAGCTTGGATGCTCCTTGTTCCATCCTGTCCGTGTTCTCTGTCCACACCTCCAGTAGTGCACAGAAGTTCTGTTGGTCGAGGCTGGTGTAAAAAGTAGGCATTTATTAAATGTTCATTTCAATCTGCAGTCTCCTAGGTGAAAGTCACGGTGAGTATTCATATTATCTCTCATTTGCCAGACTCCCCGAAGATAAAGCATCGCTTTTATGCATGATTTGTATTCTCTGATGTCTTTTGAATCATGTTCCAGTGGAAGGTGCTTGTGAGTGCAGTTTCTGGGCTGAAGTTTATTTTGTCAAGTATAGAGCTGATCTGGGGTGGTTGGTGGTGAGGAGCTCAGACTGAAGCCAGGCTCGTTGGGTTCATGGGTCTTGCTCCGCCTCCTAGTAGCTTTGTGACTTTGAGCCTGTAATTCTCAGGGCCTCGTTTGCTCATCTCTGAAAATGTGATACTGTGATTTGTACTTACTCCGTGGTAAGGATTACATGAGTTAACCCACATAAAGTAGTTAGAACCATGTTTGGCACTTGGTTGTTACTATTTTTGACTATAGTCAGACTGTTGGACTTTAGATTGTATTTCACAAGATAAGGGAAGTAAAGAAAGCTTATTAGAAATTAAAGGCTTTATGACTTTGTGCTGGAAAAATTGTCACTGATTGTAACAGTTAAAGTTGGTTAAAATACATTTCATGAAGTAGTTAACCATCTATTCAGGAAAAATAAAATGGGAAAAATATGTCTGGGGTTATATGATTGATGTAAGCAATAATCAATGAATACTCAAAGTGTGTTGAGAGCTAGTTTCTTTTAGTATACCTTTGATAATAATTATGAATTTATTATTTTTTAATAGTATGGAACCACCCCTTTGGTTTGGGCTGCACGAAAGGGCCATTTGGAATGTGTCAAACATTTATTGGCCATGGGAGCTGATGTTGATCAAGAAGGAGCCGTAAGTATCTCTTCTACTTTAACCACTGGTGGTGGAGATTTTTAGTTTTAAGAGAGAGGATATTTTTTCCTTATTATGTGCCGAGAAAAATTTCCCTGCAGTTCTTAAATGGTGGTTAAAAAGCAAATACTTTCATTTAACCTGATAAATATATTATAGATACTAGGTATTATAAACATGTGCTTTTAAGGATTTATTGCTAATGCACAGAAATTTTGGGAGGTTAAAACTATACAGAATATCTTTTAGTAATCTTAATGTAATTACAATACTCCCCAAATCAAATAGTTTGAAATACTGCTGTGGAAAGAATTTTTGTTCTGTTAAAATATCTTTTCTTTACAATGTAAACATAATATAATTTTTTGATATTTTTAGCTGTGACTTGTTTTCGTTCTCTAATAGACAGATTTGAAAAAGTCAAAAATCAGTGATCAACATCTAGAAAAGCTTGAAAGTTGGTTCAGTGTATGTTACTGACTAGCAGTTATTGATTCCTTATTGAGTACCTGATGTGCACGCAGCCTTGTGCCAGACGTGCTGGGGATACTGGAGAAGCCTGTCAGGCTGCTTTTCTCTTGAACTTGTAAGGATATGGTTAAAGGAGATGACATTTGTGCACAGGAAACAATACAGACTTCTATTTACATAATTAAGTATTATATGAGACGGATCATAAAGGATGCTGAGAAGAGTTGCTACCAAATCTCTGGCTGCTGTGTAACAAAAGTGAACTCGAAATCATGCTTGACTTCTTGGCATAATACCAGCTAGCTCCTCCTGTTTTCCATGTTGACAGAAGCTACTAATTGCTGACCTTCAGGGGGTGTATAATGTTTTAGTGCTGTGTGGAGGTGCAGCGTGATTCTTACCCAGCCGTGGAAGTCATACCTTTCACGTGCCTCCTTTCTGGACAGTTTATCGAGTAGCTGAGTGTCTTGTCTCTATGATTACTGACTGCTAAAGAATCTGAAAAGGCTGTGTTATCTTAATATTGAGAGAATTATGGCTTAGTTTGGGGGGCTGATACAATAACCGGAATATTTCTATAATAAAATTGTATGACATCTCAGTAGATCAAAATCTCAAGAATAAATTTTAATACTTCTTTTGTAGTGAGTCAGATTCTTCTGTTAGGTGATTTATTGTTATAAATTAAATGTACAGTTTTTTTTTTAAGAGAACCACTAAAAATAAGATAGCTTGAAAGTGTGGTTTCTAGATCACTGTGAAAGGCAGAAGAAAATGCAATTATTTTTATTGAAATATTCTACAGCTTATGAATTCATGGCTTTACTTCAGTTTTTCCTATAGATTTTATTATAGAGAGTTCTGTTTGAAGTCTGATTGACCTTACTTTGGATTCTTTAGAATGTGTTTAATTTTGAATCATCCTATCACCAGTTTTACACGTCAGTACTTTAATGAGAGTCCAATTTCAGATTATCGTTTAAAGAATTGAATGTTAAAACAGTCCTGCTGGCTGAAGAGGATTTGTGTATCTTCAAAAATGAAAAATACGCTTCCTGGCCATTTTTCGTGTATGTTTGCTGATTTACACTGGCATTTTATTGTCAGAAATAACTGTTAATAATAGGCCACCTATTTGAAAATACCAGTTTTTTGATTATGGCTTAAGTTATATATTTCCTAAAATTACTAATTTTTTTTTTGGTTTGTTTTTTAGAATTCAATGACTGCACTTATTGTGGCAGTAAAGGGAGGCTACACACAGTCTGTAAAAGAAATTTTGAAGAGGAATCCAAACGTGAATTTGACAGATAAGGATGGGAACACAGCTTTGATGATTGCGTCAAAAGAGGGACATACAGAAATTGTGCAGGATCTACTTGATGCTGGGACCTATGTGAACATACCTGACAGGGTAGGTTACTTATGTAGAATTTGTCTTCCAGTGGTGGCACTGATGACGGTTACCTTAGTCTCTCACCACCTTTCAGGATTCTTCATGCGTGACAAACATTTGTTTTAAGATGTTTTATTTCTGCCTTTAGAACTAAATAGTTAAAAACTATTCAGTCTTTGTGAAGGGGGTTCTTTTTAATTTTTTTCAAATAATATTGTTAATTGAAAATGTGATATTGAAACTGTGTCGTTTCACGGTTGGTGTTATTCATTGTTGCAAGGCCTGCAAGTACCACCCTTACACTTAGAATTTTCAAATTTGTGTCTCTTCGCTGACCTCTTCTCAGAAGTCTGCACTCGCGTGTCCAGCTCTGCTTGAACTCTCCACTTGAGTGTCTGCTGGGCCTCTTCACTTACGGCAGAGCAGGTGTCGTCTTTGTTTCACCCCAGTCCTGCTTTTCCCTCAGTCTCCTCCATCTCAGTAAACGGCGTTGCTCTCCACCCTGCTGTTAAAGCCCCCAGTCCTGCACATTAGTCTTGGTGGCTTCTTTTCCTCACCTGCCACATCCAGTTCTTCAGCGGGCTCCACTGACCCCCCCTCCAGACCGTGTCCTTTATCTGTCCGCTTCCCTTCCCTTCCGCTACACCTCCTGCTCCAAGCCACCGCCTCCCTTGTTACAGCAGCAGCACCTTCCCTGGCTTTTCTCGTCATCTCTGATTTATTCTCCACACTGTTCTCAGAGTGATCTTTGAAGCAATACATCGTATGTGTACTCCTTTGTTTTAAAGTCATCTAAGGCTTCCTCCTGCTCATAGGATGGATGTGACTTCCTTAGTTTGTCAGCGCTGCACGTCGTTGTCTTGCCTGGCTCTTTGTCTTCCTTTTGTACCTCTCTCCCTCCTGTTTCAACAGGTTGCAGCCATTTTAACTTACTTTCCCTTTCTTGACCACACTGATCGTGTTGCTGGCTTGGGGCCTCTGTACCTGTGCTCTGTCTGGGATGCTGGGCTTCCTGACCCGCATGTGGCTGGCTCCTCCTTGTCCTTCTGATCTCAGCTTAAGTAGCACCTCCTCAGAAAGGACTTCTCCAACTAGCCAACCCAAAGTAGCCACCCAGTCACTTTCTATCATGTCACTGTATTTTATTTGCATTACACGTATCTGAGTCTTTATTTGTGTTTATTGTATGTTGTCTGTTAGTCTCCTCTAGACAGTAATTCTCCTGGAACTGGGATCTTGTCTGTCTTACTTCCTAGGGCCTAGAACTGTGTGCGTGGCACATAGTAAGCAATGAAATATTTATAACCTTTTATTAATTTACTAGTCTGGACCCACATTAATGCTAACATTCTCAACTAAAATGTGTCTGCCATGGGTTTATTTATACTTTTAATGTAGTAGTTTTAAGATACTATATCATAGACTGAATAATCCTCGGGGACCTGCGTCTTGATTTAGAGCCGACTGGGGCCCACTTAGGATTGAGATGAACCGCAGCTCATGGAATTGCCCAGCGCAAACCTGTACAACTGAATTATAATTTAGCATTAAAAAAAAAGGCCATTTCCAGTATTTGAAGTAGAGGAATATATAATTAATAATGATTATTGCTTGGCGACTGTAATTTCAGGGCAGAGATGTCCTTATGAGGTAATGAACTTCATCTAAGCCTTGTACTGGCGTGTGAGCCAGGCTTGTGCACTGTGGGCCTGTAATGCCAAATGGATAGACTTTAGATGCTGTTCTGGGAACTAACCTTCTCCCCTAATTACATGTGGTTATAAATCCACAGATGGCTCTAGCTTTATGACTCTCTTTTTTAGAACCCATGGTTTTGATCATGTAGCATTATTCCAAGGGATCTGTATTATGAAATTGCCCGTGTTCATCTGGTTGATTGACAGCCACCGTGTCACTTTATTTAATTTACTTTTGTAATGGGAGGTTACCTTTGAAGAGAAAGGCTTATTGTTCTGGGTGACTTATCCTTCTAAACTTTTGTCCTGGGATTTCACGTGTAAATGTCCTCATTCTGAGGTATAAAGTCTTCTGTCTTTTATTCTTAAGGCTGTTAATATCAGGTATTAATATTAGTTAACTAAACATTTTCTGTTATTTAGAGATAACTTTTTCCCAAGACATTTTTCAGAAAAAAGTCTTATTTTAACACACGATTAATATTAACTTCAGAACAGTGCTTTTTGTTCTCATCCTCAGTTTGTCTTTTTGTCTTTTTAGAGCGGAGATACTGTGTTAATTGGGGCTGTCAGAGGTGGTCACGTGGAAATTGTTCGAGCACTTCTCCAAAAATATGCTGATATAGACATCAGAGGACAGGTGTGTGTGACTACAGTGCTGCTGTTATCTTTGAGTACAGTTGGTCTTGTATGTTGGCTGATTATACTGTCATTTTTCCAGCTTTCCTGTGGAGATGAACGTACAAGCCTCATGTAGTTAGTGGCTGCCTGTATTGTTAAGTTTCACCGCCATTATGATGGAATTTCTGTACTAATGTCAAATTAGGTTTAAATAGAAGTAAACCAGAAAGAAGCTCATGATTTTTAGATACACCTCCCTTACTAGCGTCTAAATACATTTAATCCTAAAATACCTAGTTTATGGTGCTGAGACAGTTGGTGGCACTTAGAGTATATGTGGCTTATTTTCTTTCATATTCTCTCTCTGCTTTGTTTTCTTCATCTGTATTTTGTTCTTCTATTCCTGTTGGTTTGTCTTTCTTCTCCCTTTTCCCCATTCTGCTTGCCCTTCCCGGGACCACTTGGTGGTGCCTGTGGACTTTGATTAAGGCAGTCATAGCTCACAGAGCTGTAAAGGGCATTAATTTTAGATGAAAGCTTCCCTAAAGTTATGAGTTTATCCAGTATGTCAAGAGATTCAAAAGAATCTGTACTTAACAGCCCATTTTGTTGTTGGACAGTCTACATTTCTGCTCAGTTTTTTCCTTTTATTTAGCTTATATCCAAATCAACTTTTGAATCAAACTAATAAATACTATGCCAAGTGCTATGAGAGTCCTAACATGGGTCCCTTGCCTGTAAGAAACATATATTTTAGTTAGGAAAGTTTAGTTTGTTTTGTTTATGTTTATTCTTATGCTCTTACATAAACATAAAGAGTGATGCTGCTTTTGATGTAAGGTAGTGTATAATTGACCACCCAATGGCAGAGTCTTGAGGGGGGAGAGTGGGCGCTGAGGACAGCTTTTGAGGGAAGGTAGAATTTGAACCAAGTTTGAAAGATGGGTTGGATTTAGATAGGAGAAGAAAGGAAGGCTGGGTGTTTCCGGCAAGGATGGTGGAGTGATGGGATGAGAAAATTCAGGAAAATGGGAAAGTGAAGGACTGCACTCCTCAGCTGGTGAATAAATCAGGTTGTCAGTGGGATGGCGGGGATGGGGGAATGGAAATAGAAAGAGATGTAGGGCCAGTGAGGTTTGAGTGCCAAGCTTAGAAAGTTCGGAAGCTAGTGTACAGTTTTGAGAAGGGAACACCACTGGGGAAATCTTGGTATAGGAAACTTCATGTGGCTGCAGCACAACGTTGTTCATGATCTTTTAAGATAATATATTTTCCTAAAAGTCAGTGACTGGATCACCTGTTTAGACTTTAACCTAACTCGTTGCTGTCGGTCAATTCTCTTTTCCTACATTTTAGTCAGTTTATTGTTCTCGAGCTCTGCTTTCAAAGTCCATATGAATCTATTTTTGGTTTTCGAACTAGATAGGATTTTAAAGGATCTGATGAAGATCAGTACATGGGTGCAAAATGGAGAGTTAAAAAGCTAAAAATAATCAAAGCGATTCACCTTGTGTTGGTGTAGTACATTCTCATGCATTAGTTTTTGAAAAGACTGGACAGAGAAGAAGCCAAAAGCCAAGGGTCAGAATATGTACATGACTTATCAAAGGATATAGAGCTCAGGTAGTGACGGCTTCCAACACAGGGCAAGGTCCTGAAATCTGATCGAATTCCAAAGTATACTTTACCTTACCAACTATTGGAGTTGCTGCTTTCCAAGTCAAGTAACTGAAAGTTTTCCTAGGCCTCTTTTGTTAAGAATTTCTCACAAGTAAATGCAAGATACAATAAGGATTAAAACTCTTTTCCACCATACTGCTTGTTGGTAAGATCTATTAATGCATTCTGACAGAATTGTTAATAATGATGACATTTACCAACAATAGTTTTTAAGATTATGTCTTGTCTGAAGTAATTGTTGATTTTTTTTATTTCCTAGGACAATAAAACTGCTTTGTACTGGGCTGTTGAGAAAGGAAATGCAACAATGGTGAGAGACATCTTACAGTGCAATCCAGACACTGAGATATGCACAAAGGTACGGATGACATTCTTTTCTCTTAGCGATGCCTAGTGCTGAGTATTGGTACTGCTTTTTTTTTTTTCAGTTTTCACAATTGTTTGATATTAAAATTATCTTGATTTTACTGGTAAAATTCTGTGTTAAACTGAGGAGTAATTTTGTATCCTCTTAGGAGTTAAGCATTCACAGCAGCAGAATACGGTGTACAGTTGTTACTTTAATTAAATTCTTTCAGAAAGTACGGTATCAGCTATTCAGAAATTGTGGGCAGGTCATTTCCTCAGAATTATTTTATGCTCCTGTTGTTTGGAATGCAGAGCACATTTCCTTCTAAAAGGTCTTTGTGAGTGGTTATTGGTTCCCCAAACTGACCACTTTAGTCTGTTTTACTCAAATCATGTGAAAAGTATAAAACTGTTTACGACTTCGGTGATTGCATTTGGCCTTATGTGTAATAGTTTTCCATGGGAAAAATACATTTGAAATTCTGGCTTGAAATGGGAGGATTTCTTAATGAATAAAGCATACTTACAGAATCACCTATAAGACAGTCCCGTTTTATATGCTGGGGATTGGAGCAGCATCTTCTAAACCAGTAGCGGTGCCCTGAGTGCCCTAGGGCGGAGCGTTTCCTGGGATGCCTTCAGGTTTGCACGTGGTGGCTCCTTGGTAATCTAGTTTCTTTTTCTTTTGGACCTATGTGTCGGCTACTGTGGCCGCATGTGGCTTCTGACCAAATTTTGCTCTTTAAAGCAGAACCATGATCTCTTCTTATTTCTCTTAATTTGATTTTGAAAGCAGTTATGAACTCCTTTGAGGTTTCCGAAGGCATACTGCTTGTATCAAATTGTTTACCCTCTTATACTCAGGTCTTCAGGTGCACGGAGGTGCTGGTATAAACATCGGAAAATCTAGATGCTGGGTGCCTGGACACTGACAGGCTGGGTGGTGGTTGGTGGTGGGGAGATGGTGAGAAGGGGACGGAGCTCTGGAGGAGCTGCCCCAGGTGTCAGCGGGGGGACTTGGGGAATGGCAGGAGCAGCGAGCTCAGGGCGGAAACAGCTGATGAGCAGCGGGGCACATCCCTTGCCAGCCTGAGTGATATAGGGTATTTTGATACAAATATTGGTTGTGAAAGGAAAAGCACATTCTTGTTAGTTTTTACAACTCTGTTTTGTTGAGAATATTTTCGGTACAGACTGGTCAGATGCTTGAATTCTTGACATGTGTGTTTATATGACTTTAGACATTTAGGAGTAAAGGTATTAATCTGGCAAACATTCTTATCTGTGTGCACAGGATGGTGAAACACCTCTTATAAAGGCTACCAAGATGAGAAATATTGAAGTAGTCGAGCTGCTGCTCGATAAAGGGGCCAAAGTGTCTGCTGTGGACAAGGTAAGACCCCTGTGCGGCGAGCAGGATGCTTTGGCGGAGGGCTGTGGTGGGCTGACCTGTACGTTTGGTGGACTTAACGGGCGTCTGATTGTCTTTTGTGGAGAGAGAGATTACTTGCCGGGGATTTCTGGGTGGGATTTTGATGCTGTGTTATCCTCTTGGCTGTCCTGATAGCATCTGAGGGGTGGGCGGGCTCAGTTTGCTATTAAAGAAGCTGCGGCATGTGCTCCTTCTCCAGCTCATACCGGTGCCGCCGCTGGGCCCGCCATGCAGGGAGGGTGTCGTCAGCTGCAGACCTTGTTGCAGGCAAACAGGAGGGAGGAGTCCAGAGGGGCTGGAGGAGGGAGGCTCTCCAAGCAGGTTGGCACTAACGCTCACTAACAGGAGCGGAGGTGTCCTGCCAGACATCCTTGCCGTGATCATCTTAGAGAAATATTCACATTTTCCATAATAAATTTGACTCTAAATTGCTTACTTCATACAGAATTGATTCCTGGTTTTAGTTTGTTTTCATTTTAAGCAGAGTTCTTTCTCTGCTTCAAATTGATTTCCTCTCAGAAGAAAGGTGAATTGATTTATCTATGAACTAAGAAACATTATAGATTTTTCCCTCTAAATGTACAGCTAGATATAGAATATGATTTGAATAATCTATAATAGGTTGAAGTTTATCTTTCTATTATTCATGAGACAGTTAAACAAAAACTGCAGAATTAATATTTATTTGCTTTTTATTTTATCAAGCAACATTATTTTAAAAAATACCATAAATACCTCCCATCATTACCTTATTAATTAATATTTATTAATAATATAGTATAATAAATATTATTTATTAATCAGGCAATGATTATTTTCATATAAAAGAAAGAAAATATAAAGAAAAATTTTAATATTAAAAAATTAGAAAGGCCATAAAGTCAAAGAGAAGTTTTTGAAATGGAATGTATTTAACTTTCAAGAAAACTTTCTGTTTTTCTCATTCTGCTGTTGACTGATTTTTGGCACTGGTCCCCTAATTTGCAGCAAGGAACCACTGGACTAGGTGCCCTTTAAGGTTCTAATGGCCTTGTTAATTCTGTAGCATGCCATTTATAAATAACTGTTTCATAATCATTAAGTTCCCTGAAGGACTCTCTCTTGGAATCGTGTTGTATATTGCTTTGCCCTGAGTCAGCACATACTTGCTGATAAGCACTCGTGTTACTCAGAATGTTCTTGGAATGAATGTTCATTCATTCATACATATTTGCTAAGGATGGGTACGGTGCTGCTTGCTAGAATTTGGAATACCAACTTGTAAAAGTCTTGAACCTGTCTCTTCATAGAGGATTTCATTAAAAAAAATTTAAGAGCAAAGATTAATGTTATTTTTACCTAGCCCAAGCCAATCACTGAGCTCTGTGTATCTTCAAAGTGATGGCAGGGTATGTTAATGTCTTTTCTGCATTTTCAGAAATTTTGTGTCTGGCTGACATACCACTGATGATATTTCTGCCTTCTCGCAGGTTTGGGGATAAGGAATGGGATTCAGGTGGAGAAATAAGATGATGAAATTCAGTTTAGATGTATTTAGTTTGTTATCAGACATTCAGAAGGCTGTGGCCAACAGGCCTTGGGAATAGAATCTGGGCAGGAAATCAAGGCTGCTGATAGGAATTTTGCAGTTGGTTACCAAGAGCAAGAGATAAGAGCCACGTGGATGTGACTAAGGTAATCAGTTTGAAAGAAAGATGAAAGCTGAGGTCAAACTTTATTTATGACGTCTGTCACATTCTGGTTTGTTTTATAATTGTGCATATTTATCCAGTCTTTCCAAATTCAGTTGTCACCGAGTTAGTCATGGACTGTTTTGTCTGTCTTCTTTATATCCCCTGAACTATCCAGCACAATGCCTTCCATATAGTGAGTTCGGTACAGAGTTATTGTGCCATATTTAGGATGTAGGGAGAGAATCTAGAAGAGGAAGAAGTAGACCTGAGGCAGAAAAGGAAAGTCAGAGTCAAGATAAGGTCGTGCTGTGGAATCTGCAGGAAGAGCTGTGCACATCATTCCCATTTAGTGTTCTGGAGAGAGCAGGGTGGGCAAGAACCGAGCATTTAATTTGTTAACTTTTGGGCCATTGTCTTTAAGAGCGGTGTTTATGAAGTAGAGTGGGAGAGCACTTTGCAGGCTGAATTTTTTTTAATGTTAATTATCATTCATGGATGTGAATACCAATGTGATTGGCGGTCCTAATAAGGGAGGAAGGGAGGCTAATGTTAAGGAGAGGTGAGAGCTGACCAGGGAAGAGGTTGTAATAGCCAGAGAAGGATGGATACAACGTGAAGGCCTCCAAGGGAGGGAGTCTGCAGATGGAGCATCGTGGTGATAGAGGGCGTGGGGAGAGGCAAGAGGGCTCGTGCTAGTGGCACGTCAGCGTGGGTTGAGAAGCTTTCTAGACAAATGGAGAAAAACATTGTGAAGTAGAATATAAATTAGTTGAGGAAGGTGGTTGACATCTGTGGACAGAAGTATTTGGTTGATGGACGGGATGGAAATAGATCCAGGGCCTGGGAGGAGCCACAAGGAAAAAGCCTGTGGCTTGTCCTCTTTCAGTCTAGAGGGCTGTGTGGCAAAGAGTGCCTGGGAAGAGCTAGGGAGGGAGCTAGAGAGAGACATTGCAGGGGAGGTGGAGATGAAAACTCGTATTATCTGTGCATTTTTAATGAAAAATATGAAAAGTTCAGATTTTCTGTTATTTTATAGAAACATGAAAGTTGTTACTCTGTATATACTGTATGTAAAAAATGTGGAAGTTCAAGTTTCCTGGCGCTGTTTTACAGAAAGGAGACACCCCTTTGCATATTGCTATTCGTGGGAGGAGTCGGAAACTGGCAGAACTTCTTTTAAGAAACCCCAAAGATGGACGGTTACTTTACAGGCCCAACAAAGCAGGCGAGACCCCCTACAACATTGACTGTAGCCATCAGAAAAGTATTTTAACTCAAATATTTGGAGCCAGTAAGTATTGGGTTTTGTCCCTGACTAGCTGTTAAGAAATGAATGTCTATGAAAAAACTAAGAGACCAACAGCACTTTTACATTTATCACTTACCTGGAGATGTTTAAAGCTGAGAATGTTGTTGTTTTACTGTAGACAAGTAGTTTCTCCTTGTCTAAAGCTCTTTTGCGTTGTATTGTAGCATTCTAAAAATTTTTTAAAAACTGATTTTGTGTCTTTATATATTAAGGATATTGATCCTGGATCCAGCCTGTGTATTGTGTCTCACTTCCCAGCTTATTGTTTGTTTAAGGTGATGGTTTTTAATTCCCCATCCAAAATTATGTAAATTTGTAGTTTATGTGTTGATCGTCTCCTGCAGTTCTGGCTTTAGTATTATATTAAGAAAGAAAGGCCTTTTCCACACAAAGGTTTTAAAAGTTTTTTCTCTTATGTTTTCTTCTAGTACCTTTATAGTTTTAAACTTTTTACATTTAATTTTTTTAATGTTTCAGAAATTATTTTTGTTAAAGTATGAGGTGTAGAGTTTTATTTATTTAAAAAAAACTGAATGGCTGACTTCTCCCAAACCACTTACTAATTCATCCTTTCCCCGCTGACTTGAGAAGCCACTTGTGTTACTGTCCTGTGTGAGCCCTGTGATGTTCTAGTTATTGTACCTTTAGGATGTATTTTGATTCTTCTCCAAAGACTTTTTGGTAGTCTTTAAATTTTTTTTTTCATAGCTATTCTTACATGTTCTTCTTGCTTTTCAATTTTTAAAAATATTCTCATGGGTTTTTATTGGAATTGCCTTAAAGTGCTAGATTAATTTGGGGAGAATTGCTGTCATTAAGTCATTGAACCTTTCTGCCTAGAACCATAGAATGGTCTGTTTTCTCTGCTTATCTGCTGTATTCTTCACTAACATTGTACAGCCTTCTTTATGTAGGTATTATGCATATTAAATTGATTCCTATGGGCTAGTTTCTGTTTTAATCATTTTCCAGATTCTAAAATGTACCTTATTCCACATTTCAACATCTCTGAAATTGGAATGTGTCTTATAATTGATGGATAAGAAAGCATTGTATCACAATTTGGTGGCTTTTTTTTTCTTTCTTAGCTGTACGTAATAATGATGCATCTTACAGTTAGTAGGTATCTTAAGTTCTATGAAATATGGTATTGAGAATCTCTGAACCTATTTTTACACAGGTCTGACCATTTAAAATGTGTTTTTTCTCTCATTAAATAAGCAATTAATAAATGAGGGTTGATGTTCCTTTCTGGTAGTGATGTCTTTTCACCGTAAGGGATGGTGTGCTTGCACTCACAGGACACCTGTCCCCCACCGAGACCGGCGGGGACGTGCTGGGCTACGATCTGTACAGCAGCGCCCTGGCAGACATCCTCAG